CAACTGAAATGCATAAAAAAGATTAGTTCTTACGGCTTTAAAATTTTATTTATATGTTTTTTAAGTACAAAATGATAGAAAATAATTGTTTTGACATTGTTTTGGCCGTGTTGCCATAGCGACGGTACTCCTTCGGAGTACAATTAACGCTATAATTGTACTCCTCTCGACCAATCAGAGTCGAGTAATTTTGTTGAGTGTACTATAAAGCAGTAAATAACACTAATTAAACAAAAGAAAACAATATAATTAGTATAAAATAACACTATTTAGTGATATTTATGTTGCACACTTGTTTGTACTTAATATGTTTGTTTTTAAATATCAGATACTAAATAGGGCTCACTTATCTTAAAAGTAACCGTCCTTTCCAACCAACGGTCTTTCTGGTTTGAATCAGCTGTAGGATATGAGTATTTACCGCTGCACTATCCGTGCCAAGCGGCGCCGGCATCGCTTCGTTAGCGATTACTTTCTTGAATAAGTTAATCAAATTTACCTTCAGTACAGTAAAATAGACCTATTGCCGGTTTTCACATGACGTCATCAAAACATCAAAATGTAAACTATAGATCGTATAAAGGCATTTCTCAAGTATGCTTTAGAAATCAGTGTTATAAGTCCCGAGTTATGAAGGCTGAGTTTGTGTCACGCAATACCGTCACGTCTAGCTAAATAGCGATGAAAATATAAAAATAATTTACTCTAGTTGAAAGATTTTCCCTTAAGCACGTTTAAAATATCTATTCAAAGTATATTTAAGTGAAATGTAGTCAAATATATTAAATATTCCATCATTTTAAGCCTTTGGAGTTTCGTCCGCCACGATGGTGTACCAACTTGAAACACCAAGATGGCCGCTCCATACATTTTAACCAAAAATTATGTCATGTTTACTCGCCTATAGTTCCGCAACGAAATGCTTTACAGCCTTAGAATTTGGCCAGAATATGTACTTTGGACCGCTTTACAAAATTATGAAATTTTTATTTCATGATAATGCGAATTTACGCTTTTGAAACGTAGGTGAAAACTAAGAATAGATGTCGTTTTGAAATAGGTGTACAGGGCCATGGTAGGAAAGTGGTTAAGGATATGAATATAGTTTTTAACAAAGATGTCTAAATGCACACCACATACACCAACTTGCAAGACATACGAAAATAGAACATTAGTGATTTATGATTTAGTGGGATAGGAATTATATTAAAAAACAAAAGAAGATCACTGAAGCTGAACTTTTTCCTTTGTCTTTTAATGTATTCCTTTCTCACTAAATTACAAATGTTCTATTTTCGTATGTCAACGTTCTTGCAAGTAGGTGTGTTGTAATTTTGTGATTTAATATAAGTTGATTAGTATCATAAATGTGTGTGGTAATAGATAATGKGAAGTACAATACCTCTCATTCATGATGTTATTCTCAAATAAAGCAAACTTTTTTGTGCAGATTTTATCTGAAATCAAATGTCACTTTGTACTCTTATAAAATGTTTTTGTCTGAAAAAGAAAGCATGGTCTATAAGGGTTCCTGCCTTATTTAATATATTTTGTTTAATGATGGTTGGCCAATTTAAATGATTAAGGAAAGATTTCCGACTTCAATGTTTGTAAATCCTGAATAGTTAGAGGTATAGAGGTTTTGCACCATCACCTGCCCATGCCAATAATATAGCTTGGACTGCCTGTGGTTGGATGGCAATACAATAAAATCCCTTTGGTCTTGGGAATTGAATTCTTTCTCATGTAAAACGATTGTATTGTTCCTGCCATCTAACATGGCTGCCGTCACGTGATGGTACAAAACCTTTATTAGTTGTCTCCCTTCGTTTGGGGGACGGGGGCATGAAACAAAAATTTAGGCTTCAAAAATTGTTTTTGATAATCTCTCAAGCTATTTGATTCTGGTTATATGTGTATTCAGCTATTTCAAAAAAAGCTTGAATACTGAATACTGCATACTGAATAGTGCATTCCAAGACCCAAGTGCATTGTGGGTCATAGTGACATTGTCTAAAGTAGGATTAATAATTATTATTTATTCTATTTTTAGTGCATTCCACCTGAAACAATATACTAACTACATGTAGAGAGTTAATTGCTGTATATTTACTTTTTATTTCCAATTAACGAGACCCACAATGCACTTTGGTCTTGGAATGCACGATTCAGTATGCAGTATTCAACCTTTTTTGAAATAGCTGATTTCATAAACTTTAATTTTCTCTAGCGAAATTGAATATGCTTTTTGTTTAAACAAGCAAACAAACTTTGTGTACGAAAACAGTTGGTAGTTAGGGTACTAGGGTACATTTTTTACTGGAAGGGGGATGGGTGGGGTGGGGGGGCTGGGCCACTATCGAGACGACCGAGGCAATGGTAAAATGTCACAAATGCCACTCAAAACTCTGGAAATTGCATTTCCGAGGGTGTCAATTTGAAAATTTTTGTGGACTGAATATGAGAGTCATGCATGATTTTTTTTTTACTGGTTGAAAGGGTGAAGGCTATACTATTCCTAAAAAAACTGCAAATTCCTCAGCCCTCCACACTAAGAAACATGCTTTCCCTAAACACACGCATACTATTAAAGAATGGCCGAGTGCTCTCAGCTAATCAAAGGAGAGTATGTGTAACCAAATGCTATTCAACAAATTGCATGTAACAGTTAATTAATCAAGATGTTCTTTATTAGGAAAATGGTAACGTACACTTATTATATTGATTATATCATAATAACATCTTCAGAAATTCTAATTTCTGTCATTTTTTTTATAACTTCACAGTTGAGTGAGACTACCATAACCGGGGCCCCCTAGACAGCGAGAACCAATCAAATTGTAGAATGAAAACAATACATTACAACTTTGGATAGTGGAGCCAATCAGAAACCAACAGAAAACAATAGCTGCCAAAGATATCTTTTTACTCCCATGACTAACATCAGGGTCAAATTACCATTCTCATGCAGTCTAGATTTCTAATTGGCTTGACTACCCTACGTTGTTTTCATTCTAGATTTTACAGTCAAACTAAGAAACCGTAACACCTTAAATATCTGAAATGTTAAACATCGTATTCTGACCAATTGCATGCGAGAATGAATTCATTTCCAATTAACTTGTCGCATGTGATTGGTCAGAACGATGTTTGTTTTCATTCTAGATTTTAATTGGTTCTCTAACTGGTCTAAGTGGCTCCCTTTAAAGAAGTTGCAATGTAATAATGTTTCAGTTATATTTATTTGGAATATATTTTCAAACTCATATATATTTTTGTTTTTCAAAAATTCTTTTTTCAGATATTTTGGTTCATTTTCTTTTTTGGAAAGATTATAAAGTTTTTGGGGTTTATAAATGTATGTTTGGTGTATTTCTATGATAAATAGGTAAATTTTACTTAAGGGTCCATGACCCTAGCCTCCTGTCTCCGCAGAAGTTTCTCTTCTCACTTCTCGCTCTTTTCTCTCTTTCCCTATACTGGGCTTCCTGTGTTTGCTGAAAGTTGAGCGAGCTGGACTAGTACCCGCTCGCCTTAGTCTTCCTCGTTTTCACCACAGGATACCCATTCCTCTCGAACAGCAACAAAAACTAAACTAACAAAAACCTTAGCAAGAAGTCTGCAGAGGAGGCTGACATGACCYTACGCCTCTATACCAGCAGTCGTGCGAAAATAAATACAAGAAATGAAAAGAGC